AGATGTGCTTACAGTTGTCTCAGGTGAGATCAGGTGAGATTTGCTTACAGTTGTCTCAGGTGAGATCAGGTGAGATGTGCTTACAGTTGTCTCAGGTGAGATATGCTTACAGTTGTCTCAGGTGAGGTCAGGTGAGATGTGCTTACAGTTGTCTCAGGTGAGATGTGCTTACAGTTGTCCCAGATTCAGCAAAACTTCACCAGAAATGTCAGTTGTAATGGAGGCGGGGGTTGTGTGGTGTAAGATTTACCTGGCGACGATTGCTCTTTCCTTTGTCCAGATTTTACTTCGGTCCTCCAACCTGTTGGTTCGCTCTGAGAAGGGAACAGGAAAAATTTGTGTCTGATCTCCATGGCAACGCTTGGAACCTGGCGTTGTCTTAGCTGGGGAAATTGTTTTCTAATTATCCGTTCTCTTCACTAAGATTTGTTATATCTCCTCACTTAGTTTTGTTATATCTCCTCACTTAGTTTTGTTATTTCTCCTCACTTAGTTTTGTTATTTCTCCTCACTTAGTTTTGTTATTTCTCCTCACTTAGTTTTGTTTTCTGAGATGTGACGTGGGTAATCCAGCGGCCCATCTCGTTCTGAGACCAGACTACAACAGGGAACTACGCAGACAATTTCTGTGACGCTGTATGGCTATTTTTAAATTTGTAAACACCTACAGCCACTTAGGATTGGGAGCTGTAAAAGTTGTTGTTTATATTCTTCTTCTTCTTATTTTTATTATTTTTATTGTTATTTTTCTTATTCTTATTCATCCTCTTTGCCCAGATTGGACCCGGTACCCCGACGTGTGAGTGAGGGCGGGGAGAGTACCAGGAGCAACATGTTTCGTCTGTTATGATTAATGGGACAACTCTTGCTCTACTCTCTGTCCAGATTTGACATCGGGAACCCAACGCGTCGGTTTGTCCTGCGAGCCGTCACGCTACAGAACGGGGCGGTGTCCATTCTCTTCTGCCTGGTTGCCCTGGTGCTGAACACGGTGGCCATTCGCTACGAGGACCGCATGAGTCTGTACCGAGACTACGTGGACCTCTACTCTGGGGACAACGTAAGTTCCATTTGTCGCTTTGTGGACACTTTTTGTTTCCGCTCCGAACTACACAAGTGTCAGCCATTTTGTTTTTCCAGGGTTTGTAAAAATTGTTTCTGTTATTTTCCCTTAAATAGGCTTTGAGATCCGTAAGAACAGTTTTATACAAGGCATTTGTTGAACTGTTACGAAAACCAAGATTTGGTAGATAATGTCTCACCAATGAGATTCTGATCTCAAGTAGGAATAGTTTTTTTTTTTTGTTTTTTTTTTGGGGGGGGGGTTGCCCCATAGTGCGTGCGATGAAAATATTCGGTGCTTTTCTGTTGGGAGTTTGGTCTGTGATTTGTCTGAAGATGTTGGAGAATTGTGGGAGAATAGTGGGGGGCGTTTGTTACTGTTTTGTTACTGATATGATAGAACAGTGGTGTTTTGTTACTGATATGTTACTGATATGATAGAGTAGTGGTGTTTTGTTACTGATATGTTGCTGATATGATAGAACAGTGGTGTTTTGTTACTGATATGTTACTGATATGATAGAATTAGTGGTGTTTTGTTACTGATATGATAGAATAGTGCTGAGTTTTTGTTAATGCTTTGTTACTGATAGAATAGTGGTAGTAGTTTTGTTACTGTTTTGTTACTGATATGATAGAATAGTGCTGGGCGTTTGTTACTGTTTTGTTACTGATATGTTACTGATACAGACCTGCCACTCATCCCGATTTAATCGGGATATCCCGATTTTTTGCCCCAAATCTCAAACATCCCGATTTTCCCGATTTCGATCGCCGGTATCCTGATTTTTTGTGGTTGCGTCTGTTGCGTCCGATTCTTAGAAAAAAATATAAAAAGTTCTGCAATCTCTTTTGTTTGGAAACACCGATTGGACTTTTTATCTGCAGGAACTTGGAACGCTACTTTCTAAAGCATCTATGCCAAATCTAGATCTAGTAGATGACTAACGCACGTTATTTAAACTAAATTCGGCCTAGTTTCAAACGTTCATTCGCATTTCGTGACATGACCTCGTACGTGTGAGTAGCGCGTGTGTCGGGGACCGTC